CAAAAAAAATACTCATTTTACTAGGTACTTTAATGTTTTTGAAATCGTAGTATAACAAAGAAATTCTTAGTGAGTTTAGTGGAGTATGCACTATATATTCTGGCAAGGGTGTGATTTGAACTGTACCAATGAACTGCCAAATGCAGAGTCATGGTGTGCCTATACAGTATATAAAACCATTTTATAGTATTGCATCGTATCTACAAGTCCTGTGATTAGCAGCAGTAAAATATATTTGTAAAATGTGTGCGGATTAAAAGTATTAGTGTGGGTGGGACAGATCAAGAAAATCCAATATTATGTATGGCAAAATGTTATATAGGATGGGTGGAATATCAAGCAGTTACATTGCATGTCCATGGTATATATATAGGAAGAATTTATGAAGCAAGCATCGATATTATTATAGTAAATCGATCTAAAGAAATTTATCAGTGCTGTACTTTGCCCTGCACTGACATGAGTAAAAGCTGAGAAATCTCCCTCACTGTATAAGAGACAGCTCGTATGAAAAAAGAAATTGAATACTTTGTAAAAGATAAAATTATTTTTATAACCCCAGTTTTCTTTAGATTCTGTCAGGCAACATTTAGGTAGATAATATTTGTATTTATTTTCATTGATTTTTGTTCTCTATAAAAGGTCATACATACATAGGTCTGTTCTCTGCAGAACTCAACATTTGTATTAAAGGCACAATCCAAATGTACATATATTGCCAAAAGTATTGGGACACCCCTCCAAATCATTGAATAAAAGTGTTCCAATTCCAAACCTCCATAGCCACAGGTGTATAAAATCAGGCCCCTAGTCATGCAGACTGCTTCTACAAACATTTGTGAAAGAATGGGTCGCTCTCAGGAGCTCAGTGAATTCAAGGGTGGTGCTGTGATATGTTGCCACCTGTGCAATAAGTCCATCTGTGAAATTTCCTTGTTATAATACCACTAACAGTTGACCGTGGAATATTTAGTAGCTATGTGGAAGCAACTGGGAACAACAGTAACTTAGCCATGAAGTGTTAGGCCATGTAACATGACAGAGCAGGGTCAGTGAATGCTGAAGTGCACAGTGTGCAGAATTCACCAACTGTCTGCAAAGTCAACAACTAAAGACCTCCAAACTTTGTGTGGCCTTCAGATTAGCACAACAGCAGTGTGTAGAGAGCTTCATGGAATGGGATTCAATGGCTGAGCAGCTGCATCCAAGCCTTACATCACCAAGTGCAATGCAAAGCGTCGGATGCTGTGGTGCAAAACACGCCGCCACTGAACTCTAAAGCAGTGGAGATGTGTTCTCTGGAGTGATGAATCACACTTCTCTTTCTGGCAATCTGATGGACATGTCTGAGTTTGGCAGTTTCCAGGAGAACGGTACTTATCTGACTGCATTGTGCCAAGTGTAAAGTTTGGTGGAGGGGGGATTATGGTGTGGGGTTGTTTTTCAGGGGTTGGGCTTGGCCCTTTAGTTCCAGTGAAGGGAACTCTTAAGGCATCAGCATACCAAGACATTTTGGACAGTTTCATGCTCCCAACTTTGTGGGAACAGTTTGGGGATGGCCCCTTCCTGTTCTGACGTGACTGCGCACCAGTGCACAAAGGAAGGTCCATAAAGACATGGATGAGCACGTTTGGGGTGGAGGAACTTGACTGGCCTGCACAGAGTCCAGACCTCAGCCTGACAGACACCTTTGGGATGAATTGGTGTGGAGACTACGAGCCAGGCCTTTTCGTCTGACATTAGAGCCTAACCTCACAAATGTGATTCTGGAAGAATGGTCAAACATTCCCATAGACACACTCCTAAACCTTGTGGACAGCCTTCCCAGAAGAGTTGAAGCTGTTATAGCTGCAAAGGGTGGGCCAACTCAATACTGAACCCTACGGACTAAAAATCGGATGTTGTTAAAGTTCACATGCGTGTAAAGACCGGCGTCCCAATACTGGCACATGAGTCTGAAGCTAATATATTGTTAAGCAAGAAGAATAATTAGAATAAAACTTGTAACCAGAACTAGTTATTATCCTAGGGGGAGCATTGTAGACTCAGAACCCTTCAGACACCAGTTTCATAATAGATCTTAGGTTCATTGACCTTCTAGTATTCAAAGAGTATTGGAAGAAGCCTCAGGTCCCAAAGTAACTGGAAAGCAAGAATAAAAACAACGATAAAAAGAATAAAGAAAGTGAGCTTCCTGGCCAAGTACTGGTTTAACTGGTTAATATTTTTCGTGGCATTTTCAACCACAGATGACAAACATTAGATTAGATTTTCATGGTCAAAAATATGTAAAAGATGAGTGTGACAATGTGTTGGTACATCAGTAATTAGTTAGTCTAAACAGGGCCATGCAGCCATTCATTGGGATTGTGGCATTTCAGGGCAAGTCCACCAAAATGACATGGAATATTGATCCTGTGTGAGTGTGCACATTCTATAAAACAATTAGAGGCAGCCCCAGGGAGGATTTTGGCCATTCTTGTGGGTACCAGATATCAATGAAAGTGGACTTTAAAATTACACTCAGTGAGAGTTATATTAGGTACTCCTGTGTGAATTCCAGTAGGTAGATTATATTTGGATTAATAAAATGGGGAAAGTTGATAGTTATATTGGAAATAATTAGCATTTCAATAAACAGGAGTTTATGCCAATTATTTGCTCATTTATTTTTTTGAGATGGCTATGTTTATATGACTAATTGGCCAGTTTTTTTATTCCATTAGAAGATTAGTTGAATAATTTATAGTTCAATTAGTTTTACAATTTTTTTACAGATAATTAACTAAATGAATTTGCTGATTTAGCATTTTGTTTTATTTAATTAAGTAGGGAGGATTCAGTGATTAGTTAGGGTGTAACTGATATGACTGACTGATTTGATTAATTTAACTAATGTCTACGACACTGAAAATGCATACTTGTATATACTAAGGGTTCCCTTAGTCATAAGTACTACTTTTGAAACTAAAACTGTTAAATATAAAACTATTGGAAGTTTTTAAATGTATAATAGTACACATATTCTAGTGCATGTGGGGCATGCAGCTCCAATTTTCAGGTGGGTTCCGGTATAGACGTTTGGGTTGCAACATCACATACACATCACTTTCCTGTGTATATGGGCATCTGCTATAAATCTTTTGATTCTTTCAGCAGTGGAGGTGTGTCCTAGGACATACTGACACAGCTGGTAAAAGGTGGAAAGAAGAGTTTTGGGAAAACACAGGACAGTGACAAGCTTGTGATATGCAAACTATTGCTTATTACATTATCACATCGTCCCCAACCCAGCACAGTATTGCATCTAGAAGAATGACAAGGATTGTCAATTTGTCAATGTGCCAGCATTATCAATTGAAGAAGAAAGTGACTTGGCAAGGGTATGTCTAGCAAAGTCAATAAGTATTTTAGGGCAGAAATCAGAACAATTGAGGGAAATGATACAACCCTTAGATGTTTAGTGCCCAGACTTTAATTTTCTTTTTTGGCCCCTGATACACTCAAATTAACTAGAATTTTTAACACAAATAAAACATTTTTTTCAAAATGAATTACTGCAGGCCAATCTGTAACATTTGGTGTAGACGCATATAGTTTGATTACTCCCATTAATGAAGATTTAAGAAGTAATCTTTAAACAAATAGGGATGCTGCCAGTAACAACCTCTTATTTTGAAAATTCTAGTTGCCTGGTTGCTATGCTGATGCATTAGGTTTAATTTACGTTACTGAACCAGCAGTATTTACATCATGAGTTTTGACTTCTCCCTAAATTAAAGCTGCACTCCAAGCAAACCGCTAAATACGCTGGTGTAATACATACAGTATATGGAAACTGTTTTACATGACAGAGGAATTATATTTCAGTCCATCCATTTCTTATATTTACACAGCTCTGCCACACTGTCCTGTCTGACAGAGTATGAGACCACAATTTCCTCTGGTATGGTTAAGTATCTCTTACAGGTCTTGTCCCTCCCCCAGCCTCTAACTGGTCAGTAAGCAGTAGACTGATGAACTCATCTCTCTGTCACCCTGCTTTCAAATCATATTAGCATATCTCTCATTGTAGCACACCTGATTGGCACCTTGTGCTGTTGTCTTTCTCTCCCAGCCTGAGCTCTGCTGTACATTGACTGTATAAATTCATATTTAAAGGGGTATTAAACCCAAACCAAAAATGTATCCAGATGTGCCCCCACTCGACAGACACCTTTGGACTGCAGCATTGTCAGTCGGGGGGGGGGGGGGGGGCAGGGCGTGTTAGATGTACTAGCATATTTAAATGCACTAACAAATTGAAGCCAATCTCCAGCTAATACTTTTTAGGCAGTTTTTTTTCCTTTTGGAATAAAGGTTTTACATAAATAAATAAAAATAAAAGCTGTTCCCTCCCACCGGTGTTAAATGATTTGTCTCATCCCTGTAACTGCTACATCTGCAAGAGAGCTTGTTCTTTTGAAAAACAACAGACTCACTGACAGGATCACCAGATGAAAGTAGAAGAAAGAAAGCCTAAAAAGGGGAAATTAATGTAGCCACCACATCTAAGAATTGGTAAACTGCAATATATTAAATGTTTGCTTTTTGGTTTAATGCCACTTTAATTTGCTAAATGCTTGTTTTCCTTTAGTGAAAGTCTTGAATGCAGCCAGGCTGCTAATGTTTTTTAGAACAAGGTCAACCAGAATATATCCCTCAGTACACGAGGATGAGCATCCTACAAGAATTTGCACTAGTCCACGACCAGTTATCTGTCATACCAGCCCATTTGGCAGATTCCAGGCTTAGTAGATTGGCAGTTTGGCACTTGTGTGCGTTTGTTAAAAACTGCTACCTTTCTGCCCGTCAGACTGACTTTTGTTGGTAGGTGTATTAATAATGCACCTGTATTAATGATGCTTGTGTCTACAGACATAAACATATAGTGCATGTTCCAAACATTATAACAGATTTTCTTACTATTTGCAGTATAATATTTGTATATTTCTTTCCAGAGAAGAGCAGCTGACAATTTCCGAAGACATAATCAGTATCAGGTATGTTTCTCTTACATCCCATTACTGTATAATCCAATATAACTTTGAATACAATGGGCCTTTATGTACCAATTCTTAACACAACTGCATCTGTCTTTACAAGATCTTTGCAAGATTGGTGAACAAAAATTAAAACAACTATAGGTATAAAATGCAGGCACCAAGAGGTATCTCTGTATATATGTTCAACAGCTTCCCAAACCTTCCTGTCCAGGCTAAAGCCATTCTGACAGGCAAAGTTTTGACACTTCATTTTAAAAGCTTACAGCTAATACATATTTATATTGGCACATTATAGTATAAGAGCAAATGTCGGTAAGTATTGAGCTTGTGTTGATGGCACCAAATTGACATCAGCTTAAGCTGCTTCGGAGCAGATGGCCCCCATCTGACTGGCATTTGACCTGCTATTGCAGGTTTTGCATTCCCCTAGACTTTAATGGTATGCAAATCTTACTTGAAGTGATCAAAGGCCCTTTGCCACAGGTCCTTACTAGTCAGTAGGAATGTGCAAGCAAAAGGTGAGCAACCCTCTACCCCATCAAGAGCTTTCATTGCTTTACCTGTCAGAACATTATGGAAATTGGCCATTGCAGAAGAGTTTAGGAAAGAAAAAGCATAAACAATACTCCTCTTATGCTCAGCTTCCAGACCAATTTGTGAAGGCCTGGCCTCTGATACTGGGGAAAATGAGGATCCCAAATATCACAAGAAAATACTCCAGCAGTATGCAGGAATGCATTTTTGTGGGACTTGGAATCTTCAGCTTTCCAACTATCCCACAAAAAAAGCCCAATGACAGCATTACTGCTGCTCCTAATATTGGGGATGTTGTGAAACCCAAACCAGCTGCTGAAAGAAATAACCTTAAAGGTCCAATTCACTTCTAATCTATTAATATTCCAATGACATCACCCTTGTCTAGGAAAGTGCATATGGTGTAAGGTATTTTTTTACATTTTTCTTTAAATTTTTTTTGCCTTTCACTGAACATGTTTTAATCAGGGGGCTACAAATTCCTTGTGGAAATGATAAAATGAAAAGGTAATAGCAACTCAATTTTACCAGGAGAGTCTTTAAAAAAGAAAAAAGAACTGATTTAAACCACCACTTTGTACTCAAATCTGAAATATCAGCTTTGGTTGGAGTTAATATTCTCTTGTACTAGATGTAAAACTAATTTAGCTTGGAGAAGTTAGCTTCTTAATAAATCAAAACTTCAGTTGTCGGATTCTGTAAATATTACAATTATATTCATCTATTAGCTCTTTTATTTTACCCCTTTACACAATGCTGAACTGTGATAACTCCTGTATTGTAATGTCAGGAGGTGATGAGGAATCTTGTGAAGAGATATGTAGCAGCAATGATCAGAGACGCCAAGAAAGAAGAAGGACTAACAGAAGAAAACTTCAAGGTAAGAGACTTTGTAAATGTATTGATATATTGGTGGGCTCAGAAAACAAAATAGTAACAGTAAATCAGGATACTCTCAGGTGTAACATAAATAGGAAAATCAGAGTATTGGAGAGATGACTGCAATATGCAGATAAACCATCTCTTATTTAGTAAGCCAGTGAATTAGTGAAAGTGGGTATGAATTTGTCTTATCAATGCTAGCCTATCTATAATAATATTAATATCGATGATCCAGATGAATATATAACAATTAAAAAAGAAGTATATCTTAATATATCCCAGTTTGATTGACTTCAGGACCAGTGGCTAGTCCCCTAATTTTTCCTGTATTTAAGGGAGGATTGGGAAACTTTTGGCTGAAGAGCAAATATAACCAATTGGCCCTTTAATGGAGGGGATAGATTTTTGAAGACTAAAAAAAGTGTACCATGAAAAGTGCGCCATGGTGCCTCGTAGATTGGTATGCATGGTAAAATATGGGTGTTCTTAAAGGTCATGTTTTATTATAACACACCTCAAATCTACCAGAGTCAGCCTTCTTTGTGGCTCCAGCATTTGGTCAAATTACATCTCTGAGTTGCAAAGAAAGTTAGTGCTGGAAGATTTCCCTCATGCTCAATATGTGTCACTAACTGTGTGCCCTCAAGACCTCTACATAAATATATCTTGTTAGTGCTGCCTTGGAGAACATATGCCTTCCCGACCAATCCTCCCCTGCCTGTGTTATATTTCAGTCCCAAGTCATGTCCATAGTGCTCAATTAGACACAAGCTAGCTGTATCTCCTGGATATCATGGTTCCATACAAGGGAGAATTTGTCAGGAGATCCTGTTATTAGGATCCTTAGGAGTAAGCTCCTGTTTGAAAAAATGATTACTGAGCATCCCTCTAGCACAATTTTCTACTCTATGGAACCTGATATCTCTACTATTATTTGTTTGGCATGCCACACCAACTCCGTTTATTGATTTTGTAATCAAAAAATCCAGCACATATACAATAACAAAAAAATGTATACAAACTCTCCTGCCGTACAGCACTGACAGATAGACATTCATTATTGAGGGATACCTGGTGCTCACATCTACATCCAAAAGCTGGCTTTGACACTTGTATGTCACCGCTAGTAAATAAAAAAGTAATCTCTTCAAGGCATTTAAAGATTGCAACACTCGAAGAAGAAAAATGTGTTCCAGTAAAAGTGAGTAACAGCACAGGGTGAACATGCTGAAGCCTATATATTTTTTTTTTTTCATTTGCTTATTATTAATTATTATTACTATTTTTTTTTGTTAATTATTTTTTGTTTCCTTATTACTGCCAACTTTGTTTTATTGAAGGAATTGAAACAAGACATTTCAAGCTTCCGTTTTGAGGTTTTGGGTTTGTTAAAGGGAAACAAATTAAATCTCAATAACACAAAAGTGAGCAACAGCTCACCAGAGCCAGAAGAGAAGAGTCGGCCCAAGGAAAAGAAAAGTCGAACGCAAAAAAGCAACTTTAGTTTCTTTGACATCACCACAATGATCCATCCCAGAACAGCAGAGATAGCTGCTGAAAAGCATAACATGAGTAATGGATCTGCCACCCTGGCTTCAGAAACCACCAAAGAGAAGCCAAAAAGAATTCAGTTTGCCAAAGACATAAAAACCTTTGGGCTTTTTCACAGACGTCCAAAACCTAGCAGCACGGAACAGAGCTCTAATAAAATTTTCTCTGTTTCGGAGGAAGTTCCAGAAGAACTCATATCCGATCCCAGTGAAAAAACATTTGACACAGTCAAAGATCCAGAGCCAAACTGTGAGTTAAATGTAAATACTTGGAATGAACAGTGTACAGTAACAGAAGATACCCAGGATATCTTGGAATGTCTACCATTACAGCCTTCTGACAGTTTTGTAAATGACAGTCAAACAGACAAGGTTGAACCTACTATAGACAAGGATGTCATTTCAGAAACAAGTAGCACACAAGCAGAAACACCTGCAGAAGAAGACGATTCCATAACAAGACTGTGATTTTCAGTTGATGTATATATGAAATATATATATTTTTATCAGTGCATTTTGGAATGTTTGAATATTCCTTTGCAAACCCAGTCAACATGCTTGAAAGCTCATTATACACTCAATCATATACAGGGATTGAAATACATGATAGGGATGAATGGTATGCTTGGCTAAAAGGATATACATCTGATACTATGTTAATCAAGGTATCTTGCATTTATGTGCTGTCTACAATAATCCACTCAACATTTATATCATGTTAGACTATGCAAAATAATCATATCAAAAGCACTGAACATACATTTTATTTTTTCCTAGACAGAGGTATTGGTAACAATTATAATCATTAAATACATTATGCCTGCTAATATATACCACCCTAACAATATACATATAATGATTACATTCAATATGGAGTCAGATCTTCTCAGGGAAACCAAGAACACATTTGTATTCTATACACAGTGTTTGATCTGTATTGCACCAACCCTCCTGGATGTTAAAGGTAAACTTGATTCATAAATTAGATCTCTTACTTCATATATCTATCATGTTGAATCTTTATGTGCCCTGTGGAGAAGAGAGAACCCAAAATGACAGCATTTTAAATTACTCTTATATAGACATTTAAGGGGTTATTAGTAAACAAAAATTATGAGTTAAAATGGTTTTAAACCCTTACTTATACCCAGTGAAGTGACAGGCCTCAGGTGATAAACAGATGAAACAAATCCTCCTACTTGAGTGGTATCTGTCTATCTGCAGTCTTCTCCTTCTCTTCCCAAATTTAAAGGGATTTCTGAGAGTTCAGAAAAAAGAGGGTGGGGAGCTTAATTTACACTCTGCAGAGCTCAGTGAGGAGAGTTCTGAGAGCTGATTAGAGGGAAGAGACACACCCCCTTCCACACAGCTCACAAGAACAGAGATAAGACTGTAAATCTGCTGGGGTATATACTTTGTTCATATTTCATGTCCGAGGTTGACAACCACTTTAATGCCAGCAGTTGGTGAAAGGCTTCTGTCATCCACTGTTGACGTTGTGCTTATAGTGTCACATACTTAACTCTTATTGTTGCAGAAGTAGAGGTCCCCACTTATGAAGGTAAAAAAGGAAGAACTACAGAGAGTGAATATTGTTTTATTTCCCCTGCTATTCTGGGAGTTTGGTGTCCAGCGGGGAAGCTGGTGTCTTGCCTTGACAGGCTTTCGTTTGCTTCAGGTGGGTTTACATTTCCATACAATGCAATGGGAATGCAAATCTTGCTTGAAGCAGGCCAAAAAACAGGTCAGAAGGAAGTCAAATGCACCTGTCACTGAATTGCGATTCATCTGAAAAGTGTGCCTCAAACTGATGCCACCAACACAAGCCCAAAGCATATTGACACTGGTACCAAGGGACTGTTGTGTTCATTTGAGAATTTATTTTATAAGCCATTCTTGATCTTGGAAGAGTTTCTCAAGTCATTTGCCATTATAATCCCCGTGGCAGGAATATGCCAGTGGACATAAGGTATGTTGACAATTGAAATTATAATAATTTGAAATCACATGATTAATATTAATCCTTAATCTCCTATCATCATATGTTTTGCTGAGTTTAAGAGTGCATAAGAAAAACATTGAAAGTTGATTTAAAATGCAATCATGTCAATAGATTATAAATCAACTCAAGCATTTCTAATAATATTGAGTCAAATGAGTATTTTCTACTGTGATTTATTTACTATCTTAGTTTAAAATTCAGCATGAGTGACCTAAAGAATCAGAAATTTACCTGTGAAATAGCTTTTAGCGTTCAGGAAGAGACTATAAGGGCCTAATATGCAGAAGTACCTTCACCCTGACCTAACTTGCATAGTGTCTTACATGCATTTATTAGTGAAGTTTGCATTTTTTGGTCTAAAAACATTCAAGGCCAACAACAGAAACTGTTTATGAAGCAGCTAGAAATATTTCTTCTTATGACCCTGGGCCCTCGGGTAGTGCCCGAGTTTCCAAATGGTCAGTCCTCTCCTGCTGTCATGGAATAAAAAAGTAGGAAAAAATCACCTGTAAAGAGGGGCTATTATACTTATCTGTCTCTGATCTTTACTCTTTTCAGGAGCTAGAGTGCTGAAGACAGATGTCTGATCCCCTGTTCCCCCCTGCCCCTGTGTCACTACTGGCTTCTGCTGTGATGCAGGGACACAAAAAAACACAATGCTTGTTGTTGGACCAGGAATATAAAGTATATTATAAATACATACATGCATATACTATATATATACTATATATATGCAAATATACACTATCCAGATGTGTTGGAGGCACTCGCGAGTCTTAAAACAGGTGCTAATGCAAATTAGCAATGTTTATTATATCAATGTTTCCGCTGCATGTTGGCCGTTTTTCTCAAAAAGAATATTTTTTTTTCCTTTTCAGTTATGCAACAGGGTCTGTTTAGCCTTGGTGGCTGGTTGAAGCTTGAAATTAAGAGCTTCTATTTGCTAGAGGTGCCGCTATAGTTTTTAATGAAAATAAAACAAATCACAACTTCTTCTCGCTAGTGATGTTCAAAATTTCTATTTTTTTCTGTAGGTTAATGACACAGTTAAATGTAACCTATTAAATTTGTCTAAATTACCAGTGCTGAAAGGGGTATAAATATGCAAATTGTTTGATATCTTACATTAGACACCAAGAATATTTCAGTATCTGTGCATGCTCTGTTTTAAGATCGTTGGCAGTCATAGGGAGCCATGCTTAGTTTATCCGCGCCTCCACCATGGCATTACCATAGCTGACCCAGGGAAGCCCCAACTGGTTAATGGGAGCAAAATTATTTTTTTCTTCTCATTTATATGTAAATAGGTATGACACACAGGGGATGTTAAGAGGTGACAGATACTGTAGATCCTGATTGTTTTCAATTCGCTTGTTTTTCTCAAAGAAAGGGTTGTTGTTTCACTGAAGTTAAATTGGATCAGTTGTGTGATCAGCTGAGATGCAAATATTTATTTAGAAGTTTTCCTTAAGTCACTCCTATGAATTTATCAGCAATCCTCTGATTCAATAATCATTATTGTTTTTAGCAAAATCAATCCTTTGTCAGGGATTCAAATCTTGGAAAAACTAGGTATTAAAAAATAATTATTGCTGCTACAGGATTGTCTCAATAATGTATAGAAAGATTATGTACTAGACAAAATTTCTGTATCCAAGCTTCGTTATCTTATTTCACTCAAGTGGGAATTTTGTGACTTGGTGATACAGTTTGGAAACATATAGTGTTGGAGTTCACTTCATCTTTCAGCTTGTCATGGTAGGCTGTCATACCTTACAAGGAGGAAGAAACAAGGACAAAATTAAATCCCAGCCAAAAAGGCACATCAGAAATATGTTTGTAACATAAAATTCAATGACCCAAATAACGGGCTTCACACCAAAGATGGTCAACTCCAGCCAAGGTTTATTGCAATAACAGCACACTAACAGTGCTTGGGGGCATAGCTTTGGATGGGAGAGAGGGGTGTGCTGTAAGTGCAATAAAGTTTGGCTAGAGCTGAACATTTTCAGTGTGGGGCCCATTATTTGGATGGTGGACTACAGTGGAGCAAGAGTGGACTCTAGAGCCTTGGCATCAGGCTGATTGCAGGGAACTAAGGAGGATAAAGTCCTCTGAGCTCTGAAAGGGGTTGGGTTCCTCTATAAAATTGCATAAGCTTTATTAATCCAACAGATACAGACAGTGGATATCTGGGTAGGTATTTAAGGCAGGAACCCAGAGCTTAAAACTATATTTTCCACTATCTATACCTGTTATGTCACCAACGTTGATTCTGCCATTCTGGTTGAACTTTCTGTTAAGACACATCAATGTGCATGAATTTTTTATTGTGCCAGGATACAAGAGGTAAATAACACCCAGGTAATTTTTACAGGTAAAATGTTTGCAGAGGCGAAAGTCATCAAACGAAGCAGGGGTGTGACCTATCTTCATGACTGCAATCCTGGAATCTGGTGATGAAGCAATGCTAAACATTTCCTCCTTCAGGTCCTCCTGCTGTTGTGTGTCAACTATTGATTGAATCCTATTGATTACTGAAATGGAAGACAAAGGCACAGGAAGTTTAGCCAGGTTAAAGTAATCATCTACCGACATTAAACTTATTGAGCTACTAATATGTCTCCACAGCGGGCACCTGACTTTGATGTTCTTGGGACATGCTGCAGGATTTCTGAAGGTACCTTCAGGCACCTGTAAGTGCTTCCTGTGTAGATATAGTAGTCATTTCATAAATTTAATGTGAGAATGGGTTTATTTTAACAATAGCTACAGATATAAAATGTTCATTGCCCAGCAGACAGTGGTCAAATCAAGCTATCCTGCAGAAACCACCATGTCAACTGATCTCAGGGGAAGACTATTTCTTCTGGACTGGATGTGTCCCCAGGGGTGTCTTCACAGGTTTTAAACAAGCACTCTTGACTGTATCTGTTGTATGTTTAATGTTTATAGTTTTCAAACACTATGGATTCCGGTCTATGGATTCCGTAACATTCTTGACTCTTTTAAACTCCATATGTAGACCACTTTCCTGAATGTATATTATGTGCCTTTTATGTCAGCTGTACCCAGGTCACTCAGAAGTATAGTCCACATAACTGAAATTTGATTATTCAAAAGTATTTAGAGGCTAAAAATGATAGGCAAAATAGGGCATGCATATTATTAGCTTGCACAAAGTTACAATATCCTCTTAGTTACCCACAAAGTTGCTTAATTGCTTGGTCAATTTTCACTAGTAATGTTTTTCTTACTCAGAAGGGGTCTTCTTAATTGTTTATACCTATCTTCTTTTTAAAACAAAATGGACAAAGAAGCAAGTGTTTTATTTATGATCATATATTTGCATGCATCACCTACAAAAAAGATTTTGCTTATTATCTTCCATGGACATACAGTATCTAAATATCCTTGATTGGTATGGTGTGTAGACAGCTGTAGTAAAGCTTGGAGGCTGTTTTTC